ATTTTATTATTTAGGAGAATAATTCAATTCTTGCAACGAATTTTATTAATTTTTTTTTAAATAATTGAAATTCTGTAAAGAATTTTATTTTTTATGAAAATAATTGAATTCTTGCAAAAATTTTTTAAAAATAATTACATTTTTCGAGAACTTTATTTAAAATTGTATTATAAAAATATAATTAAAATCCTATGAAAAATTTTATTATTTATGAAAATAATTGAAATCTTACAATGAATTTTATTTCATTTTTTTAAATAATTGAATTCATGTGAAAAAGCTTTATTACTTATTAAAATAATTGAAATCTTCCAAAGAATTAAATTTTTTATGATTATGATTGAATTCTTGCGAAGAATTTTATTAAAATTTTTGAAAATAATTGAAACCCTCCGAAGAATTTTACTTTTTATGAAGATAATAATTAAATTTTCAGGAAGAATTTTATTAAAATTTTTGAATATAATTGAAATCTTTTGAAAAATTTGCTTATTAATGAAAATATTTGAAATCTTCCAAAGAATTTAATTTTTTATGATGATAATTGAATTCTTACCAAGAATTTTATTGAAATTTTTTATAATAATTGAAACCCTCCAAAGAATTTTACTTTTCATGAATTAAGATAATTAAATTTTTAGGAAGAATTTTATTAAATTTTTTAAATATAATTGAAATCCTTTAAAAAATTTTATTATTTATGAAAATAATTGAATTCTTGCGAAGGAATTTATTAAAATTTTTGTAAATAATTTAATTTGTTTTTGAAAAACTTTATGGAAATTTAAATTATTATAAAACATGAAGAAATCGATCACTCCCAAAAAATTAAAAAAAAAATTTTTAAAATTATTAATAATACATAAATGATTTAAAGATAATCTCCAAAAATATGTTTTGATCGAGAAACAATTTTCTAATGTTTTTTATAAATTAAAATGAGAATAATTTGCATATAATAATTTAGATCAGTCAAACGAAATTTGTTACAGAAAAGAGCATATAACAAGCAAAATGAGTATATTTTTTATTTGTTAATCATAATTTTTTTTAAAATTTTCTAAGTTGTAATATTACTTAATTATAAATCATGAAAAAATACCTGCATATTTTCAATTTGTCAAACAATATTTTTTAAAGAAAAAAAAACAAAAGCATACACAGAAACTAATTTCAAACTGCGGACAAATTAAATTAAAGAATACGAAGATTAATTTAGTTAATAATATTGTAACAATTTATGATAATTAACCAATGGGTATTATAACTATATAATATTATTATTTAATTGTTATTATAATATTATAATTATTCACTAATTATAGGTATTACAAAGTCAATCTTACTTTCAGTCCACTTTTGACTAAAATCTTTTACATTAGAAACTTTTTTACCCGAATTTTAGTACTATTTGAAGTTCAAAAATTTACTTATGATCTATAGTTTTAAGCATAAAAATAGGTCACTCTTCAATCATTTTATTTTTAAGATCTCAGATTTTGTTTTTTCGGTGAAATTCTATAAATTATTATACAGTAATTATTATTTTTATAAATAATTATTAAATTTATTAATTATAAATCAAATTAATTTGATGGAGAACGAAATATGCAGAATTAGAAAAAAAAATTGCATTAGGGAAGTGGTTTGAGAAAGCTCGAATCCTATATGAGTGATTGCTTGTGGGGAAAACTGGTTTTTTTTAGTGCGGTTGGTTTCTTTTTTGAAATAGTAAAAACGATTGTTGAACAGCTTACTTGGAAGTTAATGATTGCTGGAGGAAGAGGGGGAAATTGACTATTGTCTGGTCAATGAGGTGAAGTCAAAGGGATCAAGTACATTGGCAATGCGGTTGTGTTTTACTCTTGAATGAATTATTACTCGCATTATACAAATGGAGGTAAGCAGTGCCGTATAATGTGTCTACACGTATATACTAGTCTCGTGGGGTTGTGGAGTTCCTATCGGGGAGTTTAACGCTCGCCGCACTGTTCACAATGGCGTGTATGGACACTACGGTCATTGTGACCTACCGAATGAATATGTACGCAATGCATCAAAGAGTTAAGTCTCAATGGCGGACCACACAAGTTTGGAATTGAGAGGACATGAGCTTAACGGTTCATATGTATTAGTTTTACTCCAGCTTGATGCTTAGGTTTTATAAAAAGGTCCCTGTTTTTATAAAGGTCCCTTTTTGCAATGTGTATATGGAGAGACGCGAATTTTTCTTGTACTTCTTCTGCTGTTGCTCTTTTTTCTTCTTTTTCCACTTTGTCTTCATTTTTATCTTTAGTCTTATCTTCATCTTTTTCTACTTCATCTTAATCTTTATCTTTAGCCGTATCTTCATCTTCTTCTTTTTCAACTTCATCTTAATCTTTATCTTTAGCCTCATCTTCATCTTTCTTTTGTTTTCTTCTTCTTCTTTTTCCTCTTCTCTATTTTAATCATAAACAATTTAATAAACCCATTGTCAAAAAAATTCTATAGAATTTACATCCACGAAATGGATTTTTATCTTAAAGTTATGAAATAAGGATAAATAGTTCTAAAATTAAAGAATAGAATTTCTAGATGGATTTTAGTAAAATAGATTGAAATTTAGATAATTATATTCTTTATAAATATTAATAAAATATTTATTATTAACATTAGTATATTATCAATTGAATTTTTCGTTTTTTGAATTTCGCGCCAATACGGTTCATTAAATTACCGCCTAGATGGCATGAAAATTCTCTCACAAACGAAACGAAGGAGCAAATAGATTATTTATGTTGGTGATAAAGAATTGTTTGGTTTTAAAAATAAAATGAAAAGTATAAATTACAATAATAAATAAATTGTAATTATTATACTTTTAGTTTTATAATATTTATAGTTTTTACTAATATTATTATTAGTAATTGTAAATTATTAAAAGAAAACAATTAAATATAGTATTGAAATACCTTAATAATTTGTTTTCTAAAAAAATTATAATTAAAAAACAGTAAAATTTTATTTGTTGGGAAACTTATAAATGTACACCATTATTTTTTTATTATTAACTTAACTAGCCAAATTATCCGTGCGGGAATATTGTGTTTCACTGTTTATTGTAAACAAATTATATTATATTTTTAAACTTTAAAGTAAATAAAAAAAACTTTAACAAATTTTGATACTAATTTCAAATTTGACATCAGATTTGCAAAATTGAAAATAATTAAACTTTCTTGTACAATAAGAAAAATTGAATTTCTCAAAAATTGTTATCTGATACCTAAATTAAAAATAATCTTCATTACGAAAATTTTAAATCACCCAAATATTCTAAAGAATAGAGAAGGTAAAAAAATTATTATATATTCAACTTTCTCAACAAAGAATATAAATAATATTTTTTTAGAGAATTTCCATTACTTTTAATTCGCTAATTTTTAAAAAAATTTCGAAAAAATCAATTATTTAACCAAATTTTTTAAAATTCTTCACGAAAATTCAATTTAAAAAAAAAATTTTTTTGATTAAATTCTAAGCATGAATTTAATTATTTTCATAAATAATAAAACTCATCGAAGAATTTCAATTATTATTATTACTATTTTAAATTAATAATCGAAAAATTCAGTTATTATATCACAAATAAAGTTTTCCTCAAGAATTCAATTATTTAAACTAATAAAATTTTCATAATATTTATTATATTTCAAAAAAAATAATTATTTAAAACAATGTTCATCAAATTCTTATGAAGAATTCAATTACTTTCAAAAATAATAAAATTCTGCTCTGTAATTCAATTATTTTTGAGAATAATTATAATAAAATTCCTAGAAACTATTCAATTATTTTCATAAATAATTAGATTCATTACAGGATTTTAATTATTTTTAATACAATTTTACAGGAATTGCTTAAAAAATGTAATTATTCTTAAAAACTTAATTACAATTCCTCGAAAAAATCAACTATTTAAAAAAATATTTTTCTGATATTTTTTTGGAAGAATTGAATAATTATTTTCAAAAATGTAATAAAATTGTTCGAAAAAAATTAATTGTTTTAAATACAATTTTAATTACATTTGTTTAAAACAATTCAATTATTTTTTAAAATTTTAATTACATTTTTTTTAAAATAATTCAATTATTTTTTAAAATTTTAATTACATGTTTTCTAAGAATTCAATTATTAAAGATAAATAAGAAATTTACTCCCGAAAATTCAATTATTTTGAGGTATTTTAATAAAATTCTTTTCAAAATTCAATTATTTTCATAAATAACAATAATCATCACAATGATTCAATTATTTTTAAAAGTATTAAATTTCTTCTTGGAATTCCATTATTTAAAAAAAAATTCTAATAAATCGTTCGCAAGAATTCAATTATTTTTATAAATAATAAAATGCTTTTTATAGGAATTCAATTATTTTCAAAAAATGTAATAAAATTTCCAAACAGAATTCATTTCTTTAAAAAATGGTTTGTAAAAATTTTCGTAAGAATTCAATTCTTTTCATGAATATAAAAAAATTTTCATCAATTCAATTATTTAAATTAGAATTTGCATAAAACTATTCGAAAGAAATGAATTCTTTAAAAATTTTTATAAAATTCTTCGCAATAATTAAATTATTTTTTATAAATATATATTTTAAATTTTTTCATGAATAATATAAAATTCGTTGTAGGAATTCAATTTATTAGCAGGATAAGAAAAAAGTAAATATTTTTGATGAAAATTAGGATAATAAAATATATGGAATGGAATTTTTGTCAATTTTTTAAAGTGAATAAAACGAGTTTTTTTGTTTTTTTTTGACATTAAAAAAAATGATAATAATACACAGAAATTAATTTTCAAAACAAACAAATGAATGCAGATAATTTGCTAACGGAAAGGGAAACTTACGATTATTATAATGTATATAATATATTATGCTGTTTATTAATATTTATCATTATATTAATTTAATATTTACTCGTCCTTTTTTCTTCTTTCTTCCAGTTAAGTGTCTCAGTAAACAAAATCTTCAACGAACAGATGTTCTCTCCAACTTCAATCGGTACGTAACATACTTATTCACGAAAACATACAAATATCTAAAGATTTTCTACATCAGAAGAAAAAAGAATACAATTTTCCATTATATCAGTAACGATCTATCAAAGTTTGATAGATTATATTATTATTATTACGAAATAGTATTAACAACGCTTGAAAATAGCCGCCCCATATTTTGAAAGCGGTGGAATTAAATCGTTTCAAGAGCATATAAAAATATGTAGGATGCGGGTTTTTTTTTTCTCCTTTTTCTCTTGACCATTATATGAAGCTGATTATCACGAAGGGCGCGAAGGTGTAGATGTTAGAATGTTAAAAAAAAAGATATAAGGGAGATGCTGCGGATACTGGTTGATGCAGGACTGCAGGTTTGACGTAACCATGTAACCGAGAGAGAAACGGTTTCCTCTCAGCAGGAGGCTTTAAGGCACCAAGCTGTCTGGCTGCGAATGCTGGACCACAGAATCCTATTCTGATCTTCCACCGTGTGTGTATTCTATAGTTTAAATTGTGGGGAGGAATGTGTGTGTGTAAACATGTGAGTGTAATATTTGAGGGCCCAAGGGGCCTTCGGACTCGGACGCTTCAAAAAAAGGACATGGATCCCAGTGGCGTAATTCACAGGTGCTCTCAGTTGGAATGAACGTTAAACGAACAGGAGGCAACTTATTTTCTTCCACTCTAGTACACAATAATAATTCATAACTGAACATAAAATCCCTATATATCTGCTGTTGATAAAAAAGTTCTTAAGAACAAGTTCTTAACAAATGGTCCTTAATAAAAAGTTCTTAATATAAAGTCCTTAATATAAAGTCTTTATTATAAAGTCTTTATTATAAAGTCCTTAATATAAACATAAAGTCTTTAATATAAAGTCCTTAATAAAATAAGTTTCAAGCAAATCCGCCATTTTGGATCCGCCATTTTTGAATTTTTTATATGCTAGGAAAAATTTAGCAACGGATTCGAATTCAGCGTAAAAAATACGTTAAAAAGCACTGTTGTCTTTTTAGGTCCAAAAGTTGATCAGGGTTACCTCAAAAATTTAATTTTGTTTTTCCCTAATTTCCAGAAAAAATGTTAACTTTCTCCTTGACCCTGAAAATTATTCTGATTCACTCCAAAAATTATTAGATTTTCAAAAAAATGTTGTATTACATTTATTTACGAATTTCTCTAATTGTAAAATTATCCAAAAAAATCAATAACTTCCTTTTTAAATAAATATTTAATCATTACCTATTATTTTTCTATAGGAATTAAGATTTTCAAATTCAAACCTTCCGAAATTCAATAACTTTTGAGAATAATATTATAAAACATGAAAAAATCACTCGGAGTGATCTGTTCCTTCATGTTTTATAACAAATTTAAGAAGACAAAATTATTATTTTATATAATCAGAATATTGTAACTGTAAATTCAAATTTTCAAAGATTTAAATTTGTAAAAAAAAATTTTTTTAAATAATTGAATTCTTTCGGCGAATTAAAAAAAAAAATTTAAGAATAAATGCAATTTTCTATTATTTTATTTAAAATTGTACAAAAAATAATTGAAATTCTGCGATAAGTTTTGTTATTTATAAAAATAATTGAATTCTTGCAACGAATTTTATTAAAAATTGTTTTAAAGAATTGAATTCCTGTCAAGAATTTTATTTGTGAAAATAATAATTGAATGCCGGAGAAAAATAGTATTATTTATGAAAATAATTACTTTCTTGTGAAGAATTTTATTCAATTTTTTTTAAATAAATGAATTCTCGTAAAAATTTTTATTATTTCTGAAAATAATTGATTTCTTGAGAAAAATTTTATTCAAACTTGTTTAAATAATTGAATTCCCATAAAAAAATTTATTATTTGAGAAAATAATTGAATTCTTAAGAAGAATTGTATTGAAAATAATTGAAATTTTGACAAGAATTTTATTAAAATTTTTGGAAATAATTGAATTTTGAAGGAGGATTTTATTATTTTTGAAAATAATAAAAATTTTGCCAACAATTTTATTAAATAATCTTTGAAAATAATTAAATTTCTGAAAAGAATTTTCTTTAAATTTTTTTAAATAATTGAATTATCGAAAAAAAATTACTATTTATGAAAATAATTGATGTCTTGTGAAGAATTTTGTTCAAATTTTTTTAAATAATTAAATTCCCATAAAAAATGTATTATTTGTGAAAATAACTCGGAAAATAATTGAATTCTTAAGAAGAATTGTATTGAAAAATGAAAAAAATTGAATTATTTAGAAAAATTTTATTAAAATTGCAATTCTATTAACTAAATCTTGTAAAGAATTTTGTCAACATTTCGAGAAACTTCATTAAAAAAATTAAAAATAATTGAATAAGTGCGAAGAAATTTATAAAAAATTAATAAGTAATTGAATTCCTGTGAAATTTTTATTAATATTTTGTTTAAAGAATTGAATTCTTTTGGAAAATTTTATTAATAAATAGATATTATAAATAATTAAAATGAGGAAAATTTTTGAAAATAATTAAAATTTTGCCAAGAATTTTATTAAATTTTGCGAAAATAATTGAATTTTGTCGAAGAATTTTATTATTTATAAAGATAATTAAATTTTAACAGGAATTTTTAAAAAATTTTGAACATAATTGAATTTATGCGAAAAAATTTATCAATTTTGAAAATAATTGAATTTCTGTAATCAGTTGTTCTTAAAATTTCTATTTAAATTCATTAAAAATTGGTATTTTCTAAAATTTCAATTTGAAACCTTTGAAGTTCATCTATTTATGAAGATTGTAAACGCAACTCTATTTAAAATCCAATTAATTTTGAGATATTGAAGTAAAATTATTCATTAAATCATTTCTAAGTAATAATTTTATAATAGTTCAAGAATCAAGTTATTTTAAAAGAAATCATTATCAGAAATAGAAAAAATTGAAGGTTTTGTATTAGAATTCTTTGCAATTTCATATAGTTTATGAGACAAACAAAAAAGACACCAAAATTCGGAATTTTCTATATAAATTTAAAAAATTTAATTTTCATTTATTATTAATTTATTATTTGAATTCGACATGTGGTAAATTTTTTTTTTGTTTATACAATATATAAGAAAAAGATTTGACTTGAAGTGTTTGATACTGATTGAGAAAAAGGGGTTTGACCCTGAAGTACATTCCGGGTTTCATCACTGGCTTTTGAACAAGGGGTCTCATCATCATCATCATATAAGAACTTTGGGGGCCTCGTATATGTATATGAAAATAGATGAGCTAGCCCCAAGAAACCTGTCCAACTGCATATTATTATATCTCCAAGATCGGAATGCTTAAACGTGTTACTGGGCCAAAAGGAACGCGCGCGAGCTCACAAAGATACAAAAAGAAAATAATAATTTCGTTTGAATAAACAAGATAAGAAAAAATCAGACAAGAAGCTTCCGAATTATAATGTCGACTCGTTTTTATTTTCATTATTTTCAGAGCGTGACAAAAGTCAATTTTTGAATTACAGATAAAGTCATTTTAAAAAAAGAATAACTGATCATTATTATTTTATGTTATAGAGTATTACCTATAATAATACTATTATTTATTCATAATATTTTTTTACCTATATTTAATTAGAAATTTTAAAGAACTTAGATTTTTGAGAAATTTTAATAATAATTTTTATTTGGTTTTAAATAAATTTTTTTTGATTTAAATACAATTTTTCTCTTGGTGTGGGAAATTTTCCCACACATATTCAGAGTGACGGGAAAGAGTAAAGGGCCATGTTGGTTATCTAACCTGGTTCTCACTTTCAAAACAGAAAAAAAAAATTATTAGAAAAACGAAAAATTGAAGGGGCAGATGAACCAGCCAAGAGAGAGAGAGAGAGAGGATTGGCAGGCGTGAAAAATTTTGCACAATACTACCCTGAAAACTGTTGATCACCGCATCATTAATGCATGCCGGACAATCATGCTGAATCAGCCATTAACGCTTTCGCGGGCAACGCAATTTTCTCGGGGTGCATTGTCGAATAATGAAGGGACGCTAAAGGTGATGAGAGTAGAAAACACGAAAAATAGATATTATAACATAGAGAGAAAAGCCCACGGAAGTTGAATATACGTTTCCTGGAATTGGAATGAGTCTGTGGTTTCTATATTATATAGCCGCATTATTCTGGTAGGTTATTATTTTTTTTATTCTATATATAATATAAAAACAGTGTGAACTCAATAATGATCCTTTTATGCCGCGTTAACGTTTTCTTTTCATTTTTTTAATAACGCTATTATTACGTGCAGAATTTTTTAACTATAGTTTTTCTGGTTTTGAGTAATTTTTAGAAAATAAAGGAAAAAATTTTATTCAAAAAAATATTCTGTTAAATTTATTTACGAATATCTTTAATTGTAAAATTAAATAAAGATAACGATTACTCCTATAGTCTTCGACTCGGAGTAATCGCTTTCTTTATGTTTTATAATAATTTTCATATTCTATTATTATCTAAAATTTAAACTAAAAATCATTTTCAAATGAATTTTTATTAGAAAATTCTACAACAATTCAATTATTTAAAAACAGAAGTAAATTATTTATTCAATAATTAAATGTTTCTTAAAATTTAATTCTTATAAAGAATTTTTTTTAAAATTCTTTACAGAATTTCAATTACTTAAAAAAAGATTAATAAAATTCGTTGCAAGAATTCAATTATTCTCCTATAAATAAAAAAAAATCTTCACAGGATTTTAATTATTTTTAATACAATTTTAAGTAAAGTCTTTGAAAAATGTAATTATTTTTAAAAATTGGATTAAAATTCTTCGACGGAATTCAATTATCAATTATTTTTAATAATTTTCTGCAAAAGTTTCTTGAGAATTTTTAAATCTATTAATTTACAATTCACTTTTACGAAATTTCGATTCTTCGAAAATTCTTCAATTAAATATTTAGAAATTAAAAACTTAAAATAATTTCAAAAAGAAAATAAAATTAAACTTTTTCAA